ATATGATGACAATTGATTTAAGGATTTAAGGTTGATTTAACCTTAAGAAATCATGAATGACAAGAGAGAAAGTGCAGATGGAATCAATAGGAATGATAAAACCAGGAGCATTTCCAGGTATCCTTGTGTGATGTTTGATTAATAATTACTGATAAGTCTTAAACTTTGGTTAAAGAAAACCTGTACTTAAAGATTAACATATTTTTATCCTAAAATATTTGTATCTATAGATGTGAGTGCCAATTGTTTTGAATGTGGCTCGTGTTTTCTGACACACCCCCCACAAACTGAGCACCCAGAGAACCAAGTGGGCTCTCCTGCCTCTTTGTGTTCCCAGGGCCATTTCAAGTGCCAAGTCATCATTGTGAGGGTTTGAAGATGGAAACATAAAACCTGGAGGAATGCACAGTTTAAAGCCACAATCCTGTAAATGTCTTACAGTGAATTTCTTTTACTAACAGAGATTATAGTTCTATTAAATAATTTCCTCCTTGTAAATGCTAAGAATAGTTTAGTCCCAAAATGGCATCTTTGACTTATTTAAACATTTCTCTGTTTCTTTCTAAGTGATGGGGATGTACATTTTCTGAGGGAAAAAAAAATAAAAAGGAAGATAGGCTATTTCAGCAACTAGAAAAGTTATTATCTGGGTTTAAAATTAATTCTGAAAGACAAATTTAACCAAAGAGACTGAAGAGGTGGAATCAGAAGTCTGTTTGAAAGCCCCTGATGAACATCTGAGAGTTGTGCCAATGACTGCTTTCCATCAGCTCAGTGTGGATCCAAATCCCTTGGGCACTCCAGAAGAAAAATGATCTGTTCGATCAGGAAAAGCAATGGAGAAATCCTGCTTGTTATTTGTAGGTGTCTCTTGGACGACCTTTTAAATAAAAACCCAAAAAAGCCCATCAGCTAAATCACACTGAGGTTTTTAACTGTCATAAAATTCATTAGGCTGGGGAGGATACGAGGGGATCATGAAGTCCATGCCAAAGCAGAGTTCAGAAGTTATTAAAACTATTACTGGGAATAGTCCAACTCTAGTCCCTTGCATCTGACTGTTTTCAGGAAAACATACAGGAATTTAATTATCTTTTTTATTTTAGGGCTTCTAACCCATGATAGACTGAGTTTAAATACATCAATAGCCTCAGAGATTTCCAGTGGAGGAAAACACACACACAGAGACTGAGGAATCTATAGGAAGTAAGCAAGGATTCCTACAGAAAACCAGACTGTAAAACTCCCTGTGTTTGCCAGAAGTTGTCAGACATTTTTAAAGTGAACCAAAAGGTTCTTAAAAGATTTCCAAAGACTCAGTTTGCAGTACTTGGTAATAGCCAGGCTTCTTTAGCCGTGTGCCCAGAGCCCCTGGTCACAGGGAACAGGAATGTCAGCGGAGATCTGAGCACTGCCTGCAGTTAATGCACTGTGCCCCTGCTGAGGGAGGGCACAAGCAAAGCTGGGCTGGGAAACTCAGCTCTAAATACAAATATCTGCATTAACACAGGGACTTAACGTCTTTCTATTCTGCCTACACAGAAAATCAGCATTACTGGACTCTGCAAGCCAGTCAGGTATTGCAAGAAATGCACTGTTCTTGCAGCACACAAATACCTGAAACGCTGCTCCTGCGCACAAAGCCGTGACATAGCTTCACATCCCTTGGCTGGAATAATACTGAAATTAAAATAGGTGATTTGAGTGAGATATTTAATTTCTCAAAAGCTCTGGCATTCCCCAAATTAATGAAACACTCCCTGGGTCTGGCTAAGGTAAATACAGAATCAAACACAGCCAACAGATCAGGCTTAGCAAAGCAGAAATCTCTCTCCTAACTCACCACACATGCTGCAACAGACTACACATTTATTCATACCCTGTTAGAGGCTCAAGTAAGAGACTCAGATTTTCTGGAACTTGTGATTTATTTGTGAACTGAAGGCTAATATATTCTTTAGAATAAAGGGGGAAAAAAAAGTCTCCAATCCCCTCAAGGTTTTATTTGCTTTTCAGCAATCCTGGCCTTACCAATCAGTGTGTTTAAGCCAACTTAAAATATCTCCCAGAAAAACCACAAAGCAGCACTCCTCCAGCTGGTACAGCAATCTTTCCTTATTTTTTTAAATTTGACAATAAACTCATCATCAACTGCAGTGGACAGTAAGAGAGCAGGTAAAGGACCCAGAAATTCTGTTATTAGCTTTCTCAGGTGTAAGACCTAAGAGGGACAACAGATAAATTTTTACTCCAGATGGTTCCTCAGAGGAAATCTGGGAATCCAAAAACTAAGAACAAAAGGATGAAATAGAAAGAAAAAACTAAGCCAGTAAAATACAAATAGACTACCAGGAAAAAGATGTATAGAAAGGAGATAGGAATTAGTAGGGTGTCCTGTAAAGAGGTGAAAAATCTCAGTGTTACAGACACATAAAGCTGGACCTGGATGAGACAATGCCCTTGAAATTCTCACTGTAGGAAAGGCTGATGCTCGTTTTTTCTCAGCTGTGCTAGTGCCACTGAGGGAGGGTGCCATGCAGGCAAGGAGGATTCAGGTCTACAGCAACTGAGATAATAGTCCTCACATTTGAATGGTGAAAATGCTGAAGCCCCAAGATCTCTCTTGTTCAGAAAATTCTTATTATTATTGGTAATGAAGCATGAGCCAGAAAAAGCTCAGCTTGACAAAGAGAGACCAAGGTGAGCTTGTGTACAGGCAGGGAAATCCCCCCTCCTTACACTTGAACCAACAAAACACATCCCCACTAAAAAATTCTGGGAGAAACAAAACACTGTGGTGAGGAATGGCATTCTGAAAACCCTTTTCCATGGGGAGCTGTGTTTCAGCAGCCCAAGGGCAGCAGGAACCCAGCAATGCTCCTGAGCAGCTCCAGCCTCTTGCCCAGCTGGAGGGAGCAGCCCAGGCTGGGGCTGCTGGGTGTGGAGAGTGCCCAGCCCTGCCCTGCCAGAGCTGCTGGTGCACACTGGGCTATTCCCAGTGCCCCCAGCTATCCCAAAGGGCAGCTCTGCAGGCACCAGCATCCAGGGACCCCCACTGCAGGGGCTGGGCTGCTCCCCTAAGGCATGGCATGACACACACCATGCCAGAGTGAAATGGACGGGGAAATATCAGGAAAATTAGCTAAATTTGCAGCAATATACTGATTCTTTATATGAGAGATATTTCTTTCCTGGCAATAAAAGTTGCTCCTACAGAATTCCAGTCTTTTTAATTAATTAATTTATTTTTTTTATTTTCCATGCAGCTACAGCTCCTTAATGGGGCGACAGACCATGCTGTCTGTATTAGTCAGCAGTGGAGCTAAGAGAGTCGCTTTGTCTGGTGATGCCAAGCCTCAGTGTAATTTCTGCAGACATCCTCATCTGAAAACACCTCGGGTGACAGTTTGGCAGGCACGCTGGCATTTCCAGCTGAGTCCCTGCTCCTCCTCATTGAACTTCAGCACTGCCTAAAGCCACTAAATGAGACAGAAACCCCTCCTCAGTAGGAAGGGTAAAAACTATTTGAGGACTATTCTGTGTCTCTATGCCATGAAAGAGCAAATAAACTGAATGTGGAAGGGGAAAAGGAGGTACAGAGAGTGTGACATCTCTGGTCCTTGGCAGGACACAACTTTCTGGCACCCTCTGGCCAGGACTGAAGGGATGCTGGAGTCAGAGCTGCTCTCCCAGCCCTGCATGTGTCCTCTTTCTTTAGAAACCACAGAGGGCACTCACTCCAGCCTCTTGGCTCTCACTTGCTGAGGATACTTTGAAAGACTAACTCCTGTTAATTAGAAAAAGATAAAAAAATTCAGACTGCACTGCACCTTGCAAGTGCAGGTCTTGCCCTGGCCACTTCCAAAGTGGGAGAGGCTTTGGAAGCTGATTTACCAGACAGGTTCCCTGTCACTTGAGTTAAACCAGACCCCATTTATTTTCCATGCCTTCTGCAAGCTGTGCTCCCAGTGAAAAGAAAGTAATGTATTGATAACAGCAGGCTCTGTCACAGGGGAGGATCGAGAATCACCCACGCGTTGCCTTGAAAACAAACAACCCCCAAACAATTGATCAGTCACTGCTAGTACAGAGGCAGTCTATTATGGATAAAAATACAGGTGGAAAAAATTCATCAGGGATGTGCAAATACCTTTATTTAAATTCAAGCACAGTAAAGCAAGCTCTGCTCCTATAAACAGGAGTAGTGGATTACGGATGCGTTTCTCTCAAGTCCTGGCAGAGAGGGAATGCATTTCCAGGCTAGGGGAGCCAGAAAAAGGAGTGATTTCCCTGTCGAGGCTGGGATTTCTGACATGGCTTAACCTGCCTGCCAGGAAAGGTGGAGGTGCATCACAGAGTGCTGTATAAATTGCTGCTGGGGCTCCCTGTGTGTAATCTGAGCACAGCCCCCAGGTGAGCTCTATCCCACACCCCAGCAGCACTGCAGGGCCCCTGCCCAAACCTCTGCAGCCCTGGGGAAGCTGTGCAGCTCAGTGCCAGCTGCAAACAAACCATGCTCACCCTGAGCAGCTCTCACTGGATATCTGAAATCTTAAATTAGTTAAAAAAAACCCAACTTGACAGAGCAGCCTATGGAAAAGATGCAAGGAGGGATATGAAAGACATCTATGTGTGCTTATTTATGTGTGAAAAAGAGAGAGTGAGAGCAAGACCACTTCAGCTCACCTCAGTTATCACTACCAGTTCCTTCCCCACCTTTTACAGTAGGTGCCCATGTGTGTGATGCACTTCTCAAAGGAAAGGCTGACTCTCTTGTTGACACACTAAACCTGGCTCAATATTGTCCTAGAATCAATCAGACTTTGTCCTGAATGAAGAAAGATATTAGCTGAACGTTTAAATCCAGAGCTAAGAAAAGAGAGTGGCCACAGTCCCTTTCGGTTTTTAATTTTAACTTCCCTTTCCAGCTATGGGCACACAATACAATGTCCAATTTTAATTTAGTCTCTGCACTTAATTTAGTCACTGCTTACCTTGATTTTCACATCACTGCTTTGGGAATCCTCAAGGCTTTCTCAGCAGAATGATAAACTTTGAATGGCAAAGCCAGACCACGGCTGTAGAACCCTGCCAATTTCTTACTGACATTTCTGCCTAGGAGAGAAAACACCACAAAATGTCTCAGATAGAAAGGAATCATGACAAGAATTCACTCATTTCCTTGCAGTAGAAAAGGGGGACAGAGAGAGCTTGAATTTCAAAAACTCAGGTAAACAGCAATAACAATAACAATAACTAAAAGTACTTAATATTATTCAAGCCTCAACTCAAAAAATTGAAAGAAAAGTATCAGCATTTTGACTTTTCTTCTCACTCATGACCATGCAGAGTTCCCCATCTGTGCTGGCTGACCTTGGCCAGCTGCCAGCCATCCACCCAGCTGCTCTCCTACTGTCCCTCCTCAACAGGAGCTTTGGGAGTCCATCTATGCAAAAACCATAAGAGTTTAGACAGCTTGCAGTGCTTAGCAGTACCCAAAGTACAAACTGTGTGAAAGACTCTCATGCAGTGACAGAAGAGTGGGGTTACCACAAGGCATCATCTGTGCACACACAGTCAAAGCCCCTTCCTGTGCCTGTTCTGGGGGTTATAACCCTGAGTTCTGCACCAGGGATTCCTCTGTGGCTGGTACAGTGCTCTTGCATTGGAGGCTGTTTGAAGCAGAGATAGTTCATACAGGACAGAAGGTATAATCCATCTCAAAGTGTGGTTTCAGAATATATAAAATCTATGTAGATAGAAATTATGGAAGTGACAGAGAGAGAGAACATCTTTAGTGTGGAGAATGAGAAGAAAGATGCCTTGTAGTTTGCTACTCAGAAGGCATTGGCAGAATACAGTGGGTTTTGTTGCACTCCTAAATTATTTGCAGTTGAATTTTTTTAAAATTTATTTTAAGAATAGAAAATTAATATAATACAAGACCATGCCTATAAATGGAACAAAAACAAATTTATCACCTTCTATTCAATCAGGAAAAGAAACATACAGTCAGCCATTTTTTTTATCCTTACTGTTTTCAGTCAGAGATTTTCCCAGCAATATCAATGCCATCAAGCAATGTATGACATCAGCTGGTGACTGCTTATACTTTGGTGCAGGCAGATGATCTATCTCAACTTCCCTTGCTTGAACTCCATTCCATCTCTCTGCAATATCAGAAGCAGAAAAGTGCAAAAAGTTATTGCAGTAAAAGTTAATTTAGGGAAAAAGCGGGTTATTCACTTTAGCTGAGAGAATGGGGTCCCTGGTGAGTAATCACAAGTCAGCAAATTCTGGGATGACTTCCAAAGGCACAAATAGGTGCTGGGGCTCATAACCATGGAAAGCCCAAGGTAGCCAACAGCTCAATTGCACCACTCCTTAAACAGTGCCAGTCCCAGTGAGCTGAATGGCTGCTCAGGCTGGAGAGGCTGGGAGCCTTTTCCCTCTCCAGTGTCTCTAACATCATCTCCTCCCTCAGATGTGCGAATACTGGACACCCCTTCAGCCTTGTGGACACACATATCTGCTCCTGGTGATGAAGGGCAGGGTAAGGAGGGGCTGCAGGCAGTGGGCTGCAGTCCCTGTGCTGGGTGGAGGCTCAGCAGGAATGTGGGACATGGACACACTGGGCCATGAACACCACCAGTCTGTCCACTGAGGACACACAGGGACTGCAAGGATACCTTTGCTGCTCTTTGCTTGCACTCCTTAGTCATTGCATGCCTGATACAGGGGCATCATTTGGTGCCTTTTGTCCTTGGTGCAGAGCTTTTTGTAAAATCTCCTTGTAAAATTAATTATTTGAAAATAGAATTTTTAAATAAAGATGGGAAAACCAAAATAAAGCCACCATGAAAAGAAACCAAATAAAATCTCCCTTCTCCCTGCCAGATCAGCCTTGTCTGGCTAACAGTGAGGTCATTATTTGTTTTGGTTCAGACAATTTCTTTTCCAAAAGCTATACTTTACACAGAGAGACTACACTCACATATGCAATTAAATATTGCTTTCCTGAACAGAAGTGGCCACACAGAGCATGCTGTCAACACATCCCTGCAAGATTTCTCCAAGAGTTCAGCAGAATAATTAGCTTTGGTACCATTGCACAGTAGTTTTTATCTATCAGAGTTTTATCTTGCCTTCTCTCAGTGGTGAGTCTGAGAGAAATTCTGAACGTTTGCCTCATGGGTCTAATCATCTTATTGATGCTCAAAGCGTTTAAATGTGATCTGCAGCCCCTTCACTCTTTGACATTCCAGTTCTTAAAAAAAGTCAGATATTTTGGCAGGTGCTTAGCTCAGACTTGTTCTTTAGGCTATAAGGCTTTTGCCTGTCTAATTAGCTGTGGCAAAAAGCTGAGAATGTTGACAATCTGGGGATGTGAGGTAATAAAAAATAGATTATTTACCAGCAGCAAATTAAGCTCTCTAAGAACCAGTGTGATGAGTTGTGCCCCTCTGACAATTCCCTGTAGCAGATAGATACCACTGTCTCCATCTGTCTATCTTGTGCACAGCGTACCTGACGGCGTCTTTCTAATCTATTTTCCCATGCACAAGAATTGATCCACCAAAGCCTTCAGAGACTAAAGAAAGTAACCTTTCTGGTGACAGCAAGCAAAATCTGTCTGCTTCCAAAGATGATTTTTCCCAGTTTCCTTTGGGGCAGTGCAAATAATTGGCCAGAGCAGCCAGATGCTGTTTGGGACTGGAGAAGCGGGGTAGTTGTGCTCCTGGTTTGGGCTGGCACTGGAGGAAAAGGCACCTGTGGGTGATGGATGAGGTCTGGCTCCTCCTGAGCCAGGAGAAGCAGCACTCAGGATGTGCCTGCTCTGCTCATGGCAGTGTCTGCCTGGGCCTGGCTGAGAGGGAGCCAGTGCTGCTGTGGGGCCAGAGGGACAAACAGCAGCCCTCACTTGGAGACACAAAAATCCACATCACAAAAGTTAGCAGTGGAGGTGAGATGATTTCCTGCCTAAACACGTGGTCAGCAAGGCAGAAGAGCATGCAGGTGCTACAGAGCATTTTCCCCCTTTTTAAAACCAGTCTCAGAAGAAATACAGTGAATATTCACATTAGAATAACTAATTTTATCTCAGCCAGTTTACTCCAAATGACAATCTGCCTTGGCTTTACTCCTTTTTTACACCCCTTTTACAACTGGAATTTTTCAAATTTCTCTCCCAGAATGTATTTTAAGGAATGGGATTCTGGAATGTTTTTTGGTCTACTCAAACCAGGATAAAGGGATATGGGAGGATAATATATGCAACATATACTATCCTCTCATCCATGTTTTTTTGGGAATGGATTAGCCACACTTTCCTGTATGTTTTCCCCTCTACCTTGTTAGCACAGGCACTAGACAAGCCTTCAGGTCCTGTAAGCCAGTGCAATAGTCTGATGTCCAAAAAATGGCAGTAAGACCTCTCTAGCTTACAATACTTGTGTTATAATATCCCTTACTCCAGAAAATGCTGAATCCATCTTCGGATCCAATGACTGTTCATGGATTTCAGGTTACGTGCTGCAAGGAGTCCCAGAAGCCCAATTCTTTGTCAATGAGCTGTTATTGTAAGAATATTATTCTGCTTCTCAGGGAATTTGTTAATCAATATGGGTAGAGTACGTGATGTTGTAAAGCTCGTGCCCTTCATTTCCAGGGGAAGCAGAGGTGACACCAGATCTTCCCTTTGGAAGGGTCACACCAAGGTAAACACAGCACCTCAGCCAAGGATGCATGGATATGGATATTCTGCCTTTTGAGCAAAGACAGCAGATTGTGCAGCACTTTCAGCTGTACCAGTTCCCTCATGTTTTGGCTTTTCTCATCATCCTCAGAAGCTAAATACGATGTCAAGGCTTATTGAGAAGATCACAAAGCAGTTTGCATTTCCTAACAGCTGGGGACGTCTGAACGAGTTCAACAAACTGACACAGACAAGTTAAAACCCCGTTCACACATCTATGCTAAATTCCAACAGAATCTACTCCAAGGTCTGGTCTGGAAGTTTTACAGCTAAATCCTTACAGAGATGGACAAGAAAGCAAAGTGCAGTTTCTCCCATCCAGGTAAAAGGCTGGAAGTATCAGAAATCTCATGAGTGTGATTATTGCCGAGAGGCTGCCGGTTCAATTTTAGAGATCAAAGATGATACAGAAACATTCTGTAGCGCTGTTCTGTTAAGCAGTGTGCAAGGAACAGGTAGGTATAATTTATTTTAGCAGATTTCAGAACAGGATTGAACACTGTGGTGGAACAGAACATCTACAGTAACAAATAAGACTGCTTATAAAATGCCCATGAGTGGACTGTGGGCACAAACCTCACAAAAATTAGTGCAAGTTTTTTTATTGACTTCTGTAAGCTTAGGCTGGATGATAATGGCTATCAAGTAAGATGAAACTTTCTCTACAGATAAGTTATCCATAATTTTCTGCTAGTAAATGTTGCTGCACCCCAAAGCACTTTGTCTTTCCTGGCAAAGGACCTGAGAACAGACAAATTTTAATATTTGGATCTTTTGTGCAGAAAAAACCCATATTCTATTTAATAATATATGGTATTTTGTTGGATATTTACTGGAATAAATTTCACTGAATCTGCTGTTTCCCTGGTGATCACAGTTGGTAGTAACCATTACAAGCACAGAGAACGTGTGGGCATACAAATTCCTGTTTGGTTTCCAGCTTTTTCTTCCTGAAAATACTAGAAAAGATTGAAAAAACTAACTTTCCAATATTACAATTAATTTGAAAGGAACTTAAGGATCTCTCTGTGTTTTGTAAGGCTTTTAAAACAGATACTGACAATGAACTTGGCAGACTTTTAGAAAGCTTCAATATAGTGAAAGAAAAAAATAAATTAAAAGAAGCCTGTGCAGTTTAAAAAGAGAAAGAAAGTGTATTCCATTATATCTCTTTTTCCTTCCAATACCCAACACCACTTTACACTGCACTGCAGAGGCCGAATACTGAAGCAAATTACCTGTCAAGGGGATTTTATCAATATAAACTTGAATTCAGCTTTCAAGGAGGGCCAAGGCTGGTGCAATTTCCCTGCAACTGCAACAGTGCCTTGTTCTGTGCACTGTAACAGCTCCTGCAGCT